TCACCTCCAGCCTCCTGGGAGGACTCGCCTGCCCGGGCTCCCCTCCAGCTCCCACTGGTGGGGGACAAACCCAAACAGGAGCCGGTCTCCACCTCCCGAGGGCAGCCTGGTTTCCTGTCCCACTGGAAAAGCCAAGCCAGCAGCACCGAGCCCTGGAAGCTGAGGTTGTTACTCCCCCTCTACCGGGAAAAGCATGTTTTCTCCAGGTGAAAACATGAGGTCAGCTCCTTCAGACAACAACAAAAACCACCTCCTTGTCACAAACACGACTATTTCCCAGCCAGTTTGCTCGCTGCAAGGGCCGGGCTGCGGCATTCGGCCCCCCAGCCTGGCATCAAGCCCCTGCGGAGCTCATCTCCCCCCGCATGGCCACCGCCTCCCAGGGATGCTCTCCCACGGGCAGGCCGCCTCAGCAGGCCGGGGAGCCGGTCTGGCAGGCAGGAGAGCCTGCCTTGCAGGCAGGAGTTAAGCCGAAGCTAACAGCTGGAAGAATGTCAAGGGCAGCCATAAAGCTGTTAGTCACACCCCAATTACACCAGTCTGACAAGGACACTGGTTATCCCCTCATCTCCAGTTCCTTAAGTGCTCCAGACTGCACATGAAATTTATATGCAAGACCACACACGACTCCAGGAGAGCTGCCTGTACTTTTCAGGAGGCAGAACTCGGGACTGCTCTTTTGGATGCCTTTCAATAGAGATTTTTTTTTTTTTTAAAAAAAAGATTTCATCAGCTTACACAGCTTTAAACTTGTGATCTGCATCTGCCAGGCCAAAGATTGATCAGCAAGCAGGTATGCAGAGGATTAAAGGTTACAGCGGTTAACGGGCAGGTTGTCTCCTGCCTTCTCTTCTTCTCTATTAAACAGTGAAATCAGGCTGTTTGATATTGCCTGCTGTCCCGTGCAGTTCAAGGAGAGATCGCCCTGCTCACAACTCAGCTGCCAGACACGGCTTGGCAGCACAACGGCTGCTTCGAGGGGTATTTTGGGGTCCCAGGGCACAGCTTTTTGGTGCACGCAGGGTCCAGCTTGATGAGATGTGCCCCAGTGACTCAGGGTTTGCAGAGCAGCTTAAGCGATAACTGAAGCTGAGGATCCCTGCTAATAACAGCCCTGCAGCTAATGAGATCTCCCGCTGGGTAAAGAAGTTGGTTAGTCCGAGCGTGCCCTTCCCCAAAGGATTGCAAAGAGAGAGGCGTTACTTACGTTCAATTTTCTTCTTCATTCTCGGACATACAAAGAACCAGACGACGAGAGCACAGACAACAGCACTCCCCGCCGAAATTAGGAGGATACCCCACAGAGGAAGTTTGTCAAAGCCCAGCACTAGGAAATAAAACAACGGATCTTTGAAAACCTCCGGACAAAAGCTTCCTCAACATACGACTTTGCTCTTCCCAGCACGGGGACTCCATCACCTGCAACATCCCTGAGCTAATTTGCCTGCCAGGGAGAAACGCTGTCGGAAAGCCATCGCTGACCGCACCGAAACCAAGAGCTTAACCCACACAGAAGCCCCCCCCCAGGTTACAGTCTCCCCCATCAAAAGCTAATCTTTCACACGTGCAGACACTTTCCCCTCCCTCCCACAGCCAAACTCGATCAGGGACCAGTGTGTGCCCTGAGCAGGGACAGGAGGCTCCTCACAGCCCTCGTCTCCTCACTTGCTGCAATGTCAAAGGAAAAAAAAAAAACAAACCCCCCAGCACAGCTGCTGCAGCGACAGCACCGCTTCCCCCGTCGGGGAGAGGACACACAGGACCTGGGCTACTCCCACCAGAGAGCCCCACATCTCCATTAACTCCTCCAGCTGCTGGGGGAAGACGGTTCTCCTGCTCCGTGAGTCCCTAGGAACTTCAGCTCAAGTTTCAAGGCGTTACGTGACCTAGTTACAAGCATTTTCACATGCAGTGTGACTTTTAGCAGAGGTTTTGCATTAGACAGCCTGCTGCAGCCCCCGGTCGAGGTATCAGGTGCTTGCGACTGCTCAACTCCTGCATTTTCTGCTGCAGGCAATAACTTACAGCTCCTAATGCACCACCGGCAACATCACAGCTACTTTACCCACGCATTTGGCTCCTTGCTTATGCCAAACCTGGCCCACTGAAGGCTACAAACCCTGCACTTGAGCAACACAGAGCTCACCCAGCCTCCTGCAGCTGAGGACTCAGGATAAACACGAATCCACCTTGGGGGTGCCGAGCGATAAGGTGATCTTGAAGCAGCACTGCTGCTGCTCTGCAGCCCCAGTGCCCCCAGCAGCACTGCAGCAATCCTGCCTTCTCCCCAGGGCTGGAAAGCCAAGGGAAGGCAAAACTGACATCCCCTCCAAAAATTTTTCCAGCCACTGTTTACAGAGAAAACCCTGTAGAGAAAGCACTGACCGCCCTCACCCCACCTCCAGTGACTCCTCCACAACAGGAAACCCGTGCTCAGACCGAACACAGCTCATGCCAAGTCACCCCGGCAGATGGAGGTTACGGAACCTCCAGCTCCGCAGACAAAGCCACCCTCCCCTGCCAAGCCCTCTCCTAATGCTGCCCGCAACCTGTCCCCCTACACAACAGCCAAACAAGCATTTCAATTTGGCTTTTCAAACCGAAGCACCAACTCCTCTTCTCAGTACAGGTGCCAGCTCTTCTTGCCAGGGATAATTAGTTTATTCTTAGGGACAAGGTGAATCAGGAGGCACAGCCTCCATCCCTGCTCCTAGCCTTGCTACCGGCAGCCCGAGGAGTCTCTTCAGTGGCAGCCGGGTACCTGAGTTTTAGCACAGGTAAGAGAAGGGAAGGGGAAGTCATGTTATCTGCCAGTCCTGTGAAGTCTAAGGAGAAAGGTCTGGAGGGGTTTAGTTTGAGCAGGTCTCTCTGGTTGGGCAACTATCTAGCCCAGAACTCAGCGCACGCTAGCCTGCAGCCTTCTGTAACCGGCACAGGCCAGCCGCCTTCTAGGAGATTTCAGCCCTGTAAAGCAAAAAAGGGGTAAATCGTGCATTTAATGGAGGTTTTGTAAAGAATTTAAAAATTCAGGTTCAAGTATTCTGTCGCGTACTTACAAGGTGCACCAGTATACATGATGGAGAAAAGGTTGATCCCCACAGTACAGGCATAGAAGATGGGCAAAGCTCGCAAGCCGTTGGGAACGGGATCTGCCTGCAAAACAAGGATCAGTGCTGTGAAAGCCAGAGCTCAAGGGCTGCACAGCAGCCGAGGAGCAGCCAAGCAACAGCCCCTACCCAAAAGGGGGTTTGTGCCTTTGGTCAACTGCTGACAGCAACCCAAATACCGTGCTCCCGCAAGCTCTGCCAGAAGCCAGAGCTCCCAGCAGCTTTGAGAATAACCCATGGGGCTACCATCAGACCCCGCCAGCAGTCTAGGGGCAGAGAAGGTGGCAGAACACTGTGGGATCCAGGGCAGGACCAGCCAAGTGTCCCACCACTCCCAAGGCTGGAGCATCTCATCTGTGCCCGGAGCTGCCTGGCTCTTGAACCCTTCCCGAGGCTCCCCAGCCTGCAGACCTCCACAGCCTCCAGCTGCACGTATGTTTTCTTTCAACTCCCCAGGCCACTTTCAGACAAAACCATTTGTCAGACAAAGCTTTTACCTCTTTCCAGCTGACTTGGACAGAATAAAAGAGTCCATTACTCACAAAGCAGCTTATTTGACCACATACCTGCACAGAGAGGCCCTCACCCGAGCAGCAGGAGCACTTAATCTCCACTGCTGCCCAGCAATCGGGGTCTAGCGTCAGTACAAACACACCAAGCATTACCAAATGCCGAGCAGGACGGAGCAACCGGACTATTCAGCACCAGAACGAAGCGTGACAGGGCCAGCCCAGCTTTGAAAGGCCAGTTACGCAAGGTTACACTGACAGCGGTGACACTGAATTGTTTTAAAGGGCTGCCAGGTAGAAACCAGCAGTGATAAGATCTTAGCATCTCTTGAATCAGAAATAGTTAGAGCTAAGACCTAAAATAATTTAAGTTAACCTCAAATATGCAGAAGAAAATGCTGGAGTTCCTCTGTACAGCTGGCTGGATACCCCTGCTCTGGGCTGGCAGCATCCCACGCTCCACGGTCATCATCATCATCTCAGAAAGATGATGTCTAAAGCTGCCACCTCCATTTCAAGCACCTTTGGGTGCCCAATCCCTCTTCCTGGGCTTTCAGACACTCCCAACAGTTCCCTGGAGCCAGCCTGAGCACCCCTTGGTTTACCTGGGGCCCCAGCTGGGAGGAAAGCACAGTTTCCACAGCACCAGGGACAATTCTGGCCCTCCTGGCTTAAAAAAAACCATCACTGTTGGTCATTGCCTTCACCTGCAGCCTGACACAAGAGCAGGTCCAGCCTTGCACCAGGACTTAGGAAAAGCCTGACAAGAAGCTCTTATCTATCAATTCCGGGCTACTTCACTACTTGGAAACTGCAGCTGTTTCTGCTGAGGCCAGGCAGGGCACTCCTGGCCCAGATGTTTTGGAGGAGGCTGAGTGAAGCCTCCTCATCTCCCAAGCTCCGCTTTGTGGAGCAGCTACAGGTCTAGTTTTCCCACCACTTCAGCTCCTCCTGAAGGGCTCACCCAAGCACCAACACAAGGATGGATGTGCCTGGAGAAGCTGTGGTGCACATAAGCAAACAAATGGGCAGAAAAGGGAGCACCTGGGAGTCCCGAGGTGTCAGAAAATGGGGTGGACAGCCCTTACCTTACGGAGGATGAACCTCCTGACGAGGAAGAACAGGATAGCAGACATGATACCCGAAAGGAGGGGTGAGATGAACCAGGACAACACTAGGAGAGAAGAGGCACGATCAGCATCCCGCTGCTGGAAGGGGAAGCCCAGGGGGCACATGGACGCCCACGCACAGGGGCGGTCATGCCAGCTGGCCTTACCGATCTTTAGCAGCTCGGACCACTTGACACCTTCTTGCCCTTTGGCCACCAGCGAAAAGCCGATGGTTGCTCCAACGATGCAGTGGGTACCAGAAATGGGGAGCTTCAAGAACGAAGCTACTAGCTGCCACACAGCAGATCCTGGAGGAGAAGGAGAAGCCTGGTAAGAAAGCATCACCAGGGAACCTTGGGGTGCACTGCCCCCCCCCATTTTGACCCCCCATTCCTCACCAAACATGGCACTGATCGAACCAGCCATCAGCA